GCCATGAAGATCCGTAATCTTCTGGATCGCAGTTCGAATAGCTTCTGCTTCTGGACTATAAACCTTGCCCTTCTTGGAGTACTTCTCGACTGTCTCGTCATATGTCTCGGCCCGGCCAAACATGTCGTCGCGTTCCAGACTCTCAAAGTACTTTGTATGAGCCTTGAGACCTGCGCGAAGACTTCCGATATAACTCGCCATCTGTTTGAATACAGCATGTCTTGAGGTCACAGGATAGATGAACAGGGAAACACCCGTACAGATTCCCAACCCGATCAAACATGCTTCGAGCAAGGTCCTCACAAAAGCAATACCGGCGGCCATGGTGGGGAGCCGAGGGGCATATGACGCGGTGATATTGGCAATTATGGCATAGATGATGACCGGAAATTGGAACTGTTGATAGTGGGCACGAAACGAGTGCACCAGGTATATCTGGAAAAACAGCAGCACACCACTCACAGCGGAGGCGGATGAATTGTACATGTTGGCTGTCGGATCCGAACTCGATATAGACGCCGCATCCGCAGCAGTCTGTGTGTTCTGTCGTGCTTTCACGCTGCAGAACATCATAAGCAGAGCAAAGGCTGTTGCGACGCAGACCGCCAGCACGTCCAAAATCATCATCTGGATGAATTTGGCCCGTGGCATGATGGCAAATCCGAGAACAGAGATGATTGCTATGAGATAACCGATAGTGGAAAACCGTGCCGCAACAGAATCGGCTTGAAACCTGCTCGTTGTGAGCGGTGTAATGTGAGGAACTGAGAACATTTCTTACATGGCTATGGCAATAGCAGGTGGTAGAGCACCCCTAACACCTTGTGAGCTTCAACGCGTAGAGTCAATTGCAATTACTCACTTCATCATCATGATCACCGTTTGTCGATCCAGGTCCAACCTGGACCATCCATTCTTGATCATGCGGAAAAGGTTCCATTTCTCCTGCTGTTTCTTCGTGTCTGGCTCATCGTTCTGTGAGCACTGTGACGAACTTGTCGACTGGCGCGAACTGACTCGCGACGCCATGGTAGGATCAACCGAGTTCAGTCGCACCCCGCGTTTCCCGATCAGTGGACCGTCGGGAGTTGAGAACTCTCGATCTCACTCTCTCAGTAGACTGGGGCCGATCATCGGCATGCTCAAGTGATCAACGGATACGTCCTCCGACGTTGGTCAATAAAGCAGGGACAAGCCGAGGTCAATTCGTGAATAACAATTACGCGACTCTTGCAAAGATCCCTCTTAAAAGTGACAAGACTTGGATTAAGGTTTTTGGTTGGAACTCAGAGCGGGAGATGCCATCGACAGTCTGGGCGGAATTAGATGGCCTTTGATAGTGGGCCGTGTAGCTTCACAAATGCCTCGGATCTGCGGTCCTGCAGAGAATTGCTTGGCCTCGTCAGCACCTTCTTTCTTTTCGATATACCTCTCAGACGGTGAGCAACTCAAAACTCTTTGTCACATCGATGACGATGATGGAAAGACATGACCTTTGATAATTAGATAGATGTTGGTCAGTGGTTGATGGTAGGATCCGGGTAATGATGCAAGGAACAAATACTGCTCTGTGGGTCGGCACTCGTGGCTTAGTAGTTCTCTCCTTGGAAAGTTGGAGACAGATGATGTTATCATGTTGTATCTCTCTGTTTGCTGTTTTTATTTTGATCATATTCTTCTGTAATGATGAATTGGGTTTTGCAGCGCAGACTTCTTTCCAGCCTTATCGAGGAGAATTCTCCGATCGGAGAATGCAAGCAATACGCAAGGGAACTCATGAGAGACAACTGGCAACCACGAGATCTGTCAGTCAAGATGATCTTGAGGCTTTTATCGGAATGTGAATGTGAATATCGATTATTTATTGAGACCACTGTGATGCTCACTTCCTCCTGATACATAACTACCTTATCTATCTAGATAATTACAAAGATGATTGCTCTAATCCTACAGAAAATGCCGCCAATCAATTGGCGTCTCTTTCATTAACCCCTTAATTTTGATCTCCGGAGACAGCAAGTCGGCTACCACACCTCCACGCCATGATGGTCTTCCGATCTGAATAAACTCATGAAACAATCAGTCAACGTCGTCGTCATGTTTACCGACGTGGAGAAACCTCCCCCGCAATTGTGTCAGGATGCTTCGCATCTCCCCTTTGCGGGGGTCCCAAAGCGGAAGCCCGTCCCTGTCGCAGAGGCTTCTCCCGAGCCAGCAGCCATTGCGACGGAAGAACCTAGTGTACAACCCCCCAGCAAAGCTGCTTGGTGGGACTGGCGACAATTCTCGAAAAAGAAGCGTCTGATCGTCATCGCAATTGCAGTCGCGGTCGTCTGTCTCCTTGCTCTGGTCATCGGCCTTGCTGTGGGATTGACCAGGGGAAAAGGGTGAGTACTTTTAGCGAGTGTCGCATATCACTCGCATCCATCTCTCCAAAGATATCGACTGATCGCGGCTAGCCACTCAAATCTTCCTCTTCCCACCTCCCATGGTGGTCCCTATTCAGGAGATTTGACCTACTACAACCCCGGCCTCGGCTCATGCGGCTTCACCAGCACAGACTCGGACATGATCTGCGCCGTCTCGCATGTTCTCTTTGATGCTGCTTCGACCGGGTCGAATCCGAATGCGAATCCGCTGTGCGGGCTCAAATTGAGGATTCGTCGGGGTGACGCGAGCGTTGATGTCAAGATTGTTGATCGATGTATGTTTTCTGTCATTTTCATCTCTTGGCTGTGCTATACTATGTGCGCCGATGAAGACTCTAATAGCTGACATGAATCCAGGTGTGGGATGTAAAGTGAAAGATTTGGACGTTTCTCCCGCTGTCTTTGAGAAACTTGCTGATATGGATCTTGGTCGCGTCACCGCTGAATGGTCGTGGCTGGAAAACTCCCCTGTGGCTTCAATGCAGTCATGACAGATGAGCATTTCGGCTTGCTTTACCCTCTTTCTTTGTTGCTCTACTTTCGATATACCCATTACGACTGCTGTACATGACTGTCTTTTTATTCACATAATTGATCTATTGCTTCTACTCAGTAGTCTGGCCAGTCAGGATCAATCTGTTCACGCCATGCGCGTAACCCTCCTTGTATATCACCGACGTATCTCTGTCCACCCAGATCGAGCCCCAGCTCTTTCAACCTCCGAACTGCGATCTGCGAGTCGTTCCCAAGACGACACACAACATATATGGGGTCCGTCGAAGCAGGAGAAGCTACGTCTGGCGGTAGCCAGGACGGTAGCGAAGGTTGAGCATTGGCGTCTGCGTTCGTAGAAGTTGATGCTGATGACAAAATGGTTGAGATGGGGATGTTAATGCTGTTTTCCAAGTTACAAATATCGAATTGCACCTTCTCTCTCACATCAATGATCGTGGGCTCCTTGCTTATGCTGTCTCCGTCTTGCGACACTTCCTTGGGATGTTTCTTTCTGAATTCAAGGGGCGAAATACGTTCCTCCGGCGAAAGAGACGATTCCAGGCCTGCAACACCACAAAAGAAGACATAATCAGTAGACCCTGATTTGAGCGTCTCTAGTGTCACACTGGCATCGGCAGAGCACACTGCACAATTCGCACGCCGAGTGCGGAGCCTAATGGTTCGAAACGGAGGCGTCGAGTATGCGGAGAATATAAGCAGAGATGGAGGTGATGCGCTCGAATTCACCGTTGGAGAAGTAATGACCTTGATTGCCTCCAGTGCTTGAAGAACCCCCATTGTGCCTACAACTGGGCCGAGAATTCCACCGTCAGCACAGCTGACAACGCTGTTCGCCGGTGGCGGTTTCGGAAACACGCATCGATAGCATGGTCCACCACTCTTGTCTCCCACCGGCCGAGGAGGGTAGTTTAACACCATGAGCTGTCCTTCCGTCCGCAATGCGGAAGCAGAGACCAAAGGCTTCCCGAGCAGCACGGCTGTATCCGAGATCAAATACCGCGTTGCGGGATTATCCGTGCAATCAAGGATGAGATCGTAATCTTTGAAAATATCCGGAGCTTCTTGCGGCGTGAGGTGTGCCCTATACGGAACGTATGTAGGATGGGGATTCAACCTGAGACGCGGGAAGCAACCAGTCAGTGTCTGAACACATTCGAAGGGGGTCGTCATTGAACTGACTCTCGCAGATATTCGATCGCGCTATCTACTTTGAACTTTCCAACATTCTTGCTCCTATGCAAAACTTGCCGGTGCAGGTTCGAGTTTTCGACAGTGTCTCCGTCGACCAGGCCCAGGGTGCCTACACCCGCTCCAGCAAGGTACAGCGCTGCAGGACACCCCAGTCCACCTGCTCCAACAATGAGGACTCGTGCAGAACGAAGCTTCAGTTGACCTATACAAGTATCATAAATATTAGCAACGCCACATCACCAAGCCGACGCTGAGGATTGGTGTTTTCCTGGAGGAGCTCAATGCGCATACCTTGCAACCCAAGTTGCGGTACAATCATTTGTCTTCCATACCGCTTGTATTCCTCGCCCAGCAGTGGCCACTTCCTCGTCCCATTTTCACTCCTTTCGTCAGCAGCGATTGTTGTCGCGGTATCTTGAGCCTTGACGTCGGCAGCTGCTTGCTCAGCTATTTTGAGCTCGCGTTTCAGACCCTCAAGCTGGGCCTCGGTGGCGGCAATTTGAGCGCGTAAGGACGCGCATGTCTGCTCTAGATTCCCCATTAAAAAGCCAATAATAAATGTATAGGAATGACACTCTGAACTCCGACGCTTTCCCGACCGTCGTTGAGTCTTGACTTGGCGCATCAAATTAAAACCCCCGCAAGAGGAGTTAATCTTATCGTGCCGACCAAGAATTGCGCTATTCCTTTCTGAGTAATCTCCAACATCGAAAGCGCACGTGCCTTGCAGCATATACTTTGTTCATGGATTTCTGTGCATTGTTCTTTGCATTGTCCTTGAGGATTGTTAGATCGGATCTTCTTCTTTTGCAATAACTCTCTCTATATATGATATGGATATACTCTGTTTTTACCGAAAAGTCATTATAATATGCTGCTCAGGTCGCTTCTCGGTTCAATGTATCTTTGGAGCTTCTTCCTCACGAGCGTCCGCTGTTCGAAGGCATAGGCCATGCCTATCAAGCTCTCCTCGCTCCACCTGGGTCCAAGAAAGCTGATTCCAAAAGGGATGCCAGGTGCCTTTTCAACCAAGTTACCACGTGGATTGTACTCAATGGGTGTGCCCTCGGGGAACGACCCAAGAGGGACTGTGATTGCTGGTGACCCGATGATACCTGGGATTTCGGAAGCGAGAGCTGTTGGAAGAATGACGGCATCAAGCTTGTGGCGGGACAAAGCTCCTGTCAACCCTCCCTCTTCCCCGTAGTACAAGTTCTGCAAGTGCAATGGCCAGAACTCGGGAGACGTGTTATTGAGACCGCTAGCAAGCGCGCGATCCCAGATCCCTGTATCACGAGATGGATAGTCCTCTAGTGGCGACTGCTGAGTGAAGCGCCGAATATCTTCCAGACTGTGAAGATTGTTCGGGTTGGTCTTCAATTTGGAGAGATATGATGCGATATTGCTTATGAAATCAGCAGCAACAACATCCTGTGGGATTGAGCTGTTGAGATAGGCGTCGTAGCCTGTGAAGTTCGCGTCGTCAACAATTGTTGCGCCTGCTTTGGAAATCACGGAGACGGCGGCCTTAAATGCACACACTATCGGCTCATTTGACGCGTCCAACGTGTTGATAACGTTACGGGGTATACCGATTCGTTTCCCTTTCAACCCGGACAACTTGCAAGCTGCGACGTAATTCGGGAGGCGGTTGCCAAAGGGAGATGCCAGGGTATAGTTGTCATTTTGATCTGGACCTGCAATCGCTTGCAGAATTATTGCCGCATCTTTGACAGTCCTGGCCATCGGCCCGATTGTATCCTGGCGCTCGCTTATGGGGATGACCATGTATCGTGATGTGAGACCGACGGTGGGCTTGATGCCGACAATATTGTTATTCTCACTCGGACATAGAATGCTTCCACTTGTCTGATCAATCCTGGAATTTAGCAGACAATTCCATGGGAGCTCCCTAGATGAAAGTCATTTACCTCGGTACCTAGGGCTGCAAAGGCAAGGCCCAAATCGGCTGCCACGCCACTGCCGCTTGAACTACCGCTGGGATCCTGGTTTGGATAGTAAGCTGCATATGTTTGGCCGCCCTGGGCGTTCCAGCCGGAGGATTCAATCAGTGACCTGAAGTTCGCCCACTCTGACATGCTGGTCTTGCCGAGGATGACGACGCCTGCTTGTCTGAGCTTCTTTGCAACAGTTGAATCCGCAGCCACCTTGGCGCCAACAAGCGCGTAAGAGCCAGCTGTAATCTTAGTCAGTTATTGAATCGGGATATCACCGCACACAAGCTTACCAGCTGTTTCCATCTTGTCCTCGGTGCCGATGTTGCCTTTGACAAGGATGGGAAGGCCATGCAAAGGCCTGCCGGCTGTCAGTGAATGGTTTTCTTACGAACGTCCTAACTGCTGTTATGCCTCACCCTCGTATGAGTCCGTGTTTTCTCTCCAAGTCAAGCTGTCGAGCGATGTCCCATGCGTCGGGATTGATTTCGAGGACCATGTGCAGTGTCGAGTTGACCTCGTTTATCCGGGTCACATATGCCTAATCCCTTTGTTATCAATGCTGATATATGGCAGGGGGAATGCACCAACATTGACCAGGTCGACACTGGAGAAGCAGCCGTTGGTGAGCCCCTCCTGGAGCTCGGCCGTAGTTGCTTCAATCAGGGACGGGAATTCACATTGACAACCTTTTGTACCATTCGGCGAACTTCTAGAACTCGATACAGTGGTCGCAATGTACAGAAAGGGCACCAGAAACCATTTGCCCCATTGTAACATGGTTGTTGAAAAATAGGCTAGCACAACCCCGAACGCCGCAATAATTAATACTGCTGCGCCCAGGTACACGCTTCCTTTCCGCTTACTTATATATTCTGTGGAGATCATCTTGCAGATTATGCCGAGTTATGCAGATATCAAGGGGCTATGTATCGCTCGTCCTACTGCAAGGGATGTAGTTAAGTGCGTCTGTTGTCGCTGAGTCAGACAGCAAACAATCTACACAAGGGCAAAACGTTGATTGGCCAGATCTTGAAGATGCACATATCAATGTACTTCAGGTTTCTGATCGGGCCCTTTCTTTCGGTTCTTTTAATCTCTTTACATCCCATGACATAGGAACTACCGTTCATTGCTGCCTAAATGCTCACGTGCCCTTTTGCGGTCAACATACTCACAGTGAGTCATGGGCTTTACCGGCCGAGGTCCAGTCCATGACGGATCATCATCCGTATAACCCTGGTCGGCATTGTAAACTGGTATCTTGCCTGGTTGCACCTCTGGACAGATGTCTCTCATTGAAGCTGACGAGCACAACTCAACTGTCAGCCACCAAAGCGTGTCGATCTCAACTCGCATAAACCCAAATTCATTGCTGCATCCCCAAATGCTCACGACAGTTCCCTTTACATATTGACCGGTGAGTAATGGGCGTTACCGGCCTAGGTCCAGTCCATGAGGGATCATCATCCGCATAACCCAGGTCGGCATTGTAAACTGGTATCTTGCCTGGTTGCACCTCCGGACAGATGTCTCTCATTGAACTTGATGAGCACAACTCGACCGTTAGCCACCAAAGCCTGTCAATCTCAACTCGCATAAACCCAAAATAACCCTCAAAGCCTGGTACAAACATAGGATCAACCATAGTAATAAATCCCTTCCTTGGCCCACCCCCGCACTGGCTCTCTGCTGGCTCCTCGAAAGTATTCACAATCGAATCTAAGCTATGCTGATCAATGACCAGACACACTGTGTACCGAGGCACAACCTCCCATATCCCACCACCCCGAGATGTAACAAGGTTCTTAAAATCCTCGCGAATCTGCTCAATTGATGCACCATCCCAGCGTTCTTTATCCTCAAGGATAACATTTTTGTATCCCTCATGGACAAGCCTCTCAGGAAAGCCATGGTCCTCAGCCCCTGCATATCGGTCACCATCAACATGGTCAATTTCCCAGTGGATATAGCGGTCAATTTTCTCCAGACAGGCAGACCAGACCTGATCAGACTCTGGGGTGTAGACCGTGCGGTAGATGAAGAAGCCCCAGGGCCAGCCTTCATCGTCAGCCAATCTAAGTAGCCGCACAGCAGAGCGATCGAGATTTTTGCGCCAGGGCTGCTGACGCCAGCGCTTGTAACGCTCTGTGTGGCTATCAGTGAATTCTGGGTGCGACCACCGTGCTGGCCAAGAGGAGTGGTAAAAGAAATGGTTTTCAGAAGTATTTTCATTTCTGGAGTCTGTTGATTGGGCCATGCTGCGGCACTAGGCTTTGAATATAATAAAATAGCAGGTTGTAATAGAGAGGAAAAACGGCACTTAAGAGTAGGGGGAGAGTTTTTGTAACTGGTGGTAATAAGGGGAATAAAGGGGTCATCCTGTATGCTCACCTCGCTCAGCCCCACCACGCACCCGGTTCACCCAAGTCGCGCGATCTCAGGCAGCACTGCTCACTACTAAAACAAGAACAGCAATGGACCTGGCTTCCGTAGTTTTCTGCTCAGTAGGAAGGTGGCATATGACCACGCTCTTCATGATAAGGCCTTCATGCAACGTTCTGTCTCGGCCGAACACTGCGTTTGCGAAATTGCTCAGAATCATGAGTTAGACCTTGTCTTTCTTGGTCTGGTCTGCAGCTTTGCCTACTCTCGTTTACGACGAAATTGAAAGCCGCCGGCTCGTGGCTCCGAGACCAACGCCGTCTGCATGAAGTCGGTTCGGGACAGCACATGCGCTTGAACAACAAACTTGCAGTGGTCACCTCACCAATGTAGACCCATGTGAGAGGTCCTCTGGGCGAATAGCCGATGACGACCATGGCGATGGAAGCCTGGGATACCTGAGGCGTTTGGATCGGGGGGAATGCGTGGCTAAGACAGCCCAAATGAGACATCATGGTCACCATGCAACCAGCGATGCCGATGAGACTTGGCTTCAGCATCGTCGATCAGTCGTGATGAGCAAGAAAATCGCCGTGGCGACAATCTTGACTGTTCCATAGACGCCGAAGCAAAAAGGGATGGACTGGTCGCACTCAGGCCGATCGTCTGGAATTTCTGAGGAGCATAGTAACCAACAGGGTTTTCGTCGCTGACTAGTCCCAGGACATGAGCACGCGGCGAAGGAAAGCGATACCAGTTACTCTTCTGCGGGACTTCTTTCCAGGGCAGACGGAGAATTATGGGCGTTGGCAAGGGTGTGATTCCGTCCACTCGAGCTTGTTGCTTGTCTGCACCACGCCGCTAACAGTTATAAAATACGGATGAAGCAATCGAGAGGATGACAGTCTTGCAGGAGTGCCAGCTAAGCTTTCGTCATGACGTTGGGAGCATGATCTCATGCTTAGATCTCAGCTAATCACCCTAAGCTAGTAGGTTTATATACCCGGCAACCGAGCCATCAGGTACGATACCATCCACGCAATGTCTGACCATATTCAAAACAGGCACCCTGACATCATGTAGAATAGCAGAGGAAACACTACCGCTAATTAGCCCAGCTCGTAAAGGCCAGGACCTTAACCGAACCCCCCAAAGCCTTGGTAGCAAAGTTGAATATCGCAAAGCGATAGCCCATAAAGTATTGCCAGCCGGTATTAGAAGTAAAGGCACCACCAAGCTGGGAGTACGAGCTCCCGTCCGTACTGTAATAGAACGTCGACTGCTTCGAACCGTCTGCACGCGCATCCATCCGAACCTGGAGGTAGACCTGGCGTGTTGAAATAGGCGCAGTCCCAACCACGGTTCCGGTACTGGTCGTGGCCCAGTTATTGTTAGGGTCCTGCGTGAGCCCTTGGACGGCAGTCACGGTGTAGCTGTTACCGCTGCGGACGACTCCAATCCAGGCGCTTTGGTCCTTGAAGACGGCCAGCCCGCATTGGTCGCCGTCGGCCATGTTGGAGAAATCAAGCAGGACCGTTCCAACGGGGAACTGGCCGTGAGGGCGATGGGTCAGGGTGTTTCTCGCGTGGTACAGGTCGTTGGTGACGGTGGCTGTCTGCAGCGTCAGGCCGGGATAGTTGAAGGAGAATTTGGTGGTGTCGGGGTTGTGGTTCCATTCCCACATGGGGCCCAGCGAGCTACCCCAGAACTGGTCGCCGCCGATCCACGACGGGACACTGTTGTTCTTGGGAAGAGGGTACGGGTAGGACTGGCCCCAGGCGCCGTTCACTGTCTGGAGACTGGGGAAGCCGTCGGATCCCCAGGTCACAGGGGCAAGAACCGGCAGGCGCCCGAGGGGATACGCCCACGCAAAGGACATAAAGTACCACTGCCCATTGGGCGTCTGGATGAGACTCCCTTGGTCTGGTGCGCCGGAGCCAGGAACCGGAGAGGGGGTGTTGTTGCTAAGGATCTTCCGTGTATAGGGCCCGAACGGGCTAGAGGCCTTCCAGACCTGGGTGATGCCGTTCGCGGGACAGTCGTCGAGGATGTAGTACAAGCCGTTGATCTTGTACATGCGGTTCCCCTCGATTCCCCCGGAGCACTCGGGCGGGTAGCTGAATACTTGCTGCGTCTTGACGACGCTCAATCCGTCGGGAGCGAGCTGGGCCACTGAAACCGTATTGCTTCCGTAGGCCACGTACATTGTGTCGTCGTCGTCGATCAAAAGCCCGCAGTCGTAGAAGCAGGGTTGGAAACTAGCGGATTTCTGCCAGGGGCCCTTGACGTCCGGGGCTGTGTAGACATACGTAGTCCAGAAGTTGACGCAGCCGATCCAGTACCACTTGTTGTTGCTCTTGCGGTGGCGTAAGGTGGAGGCCCAGGTTCCGCCGTTGTAGGCCGTCTGGCCGTTTTCCATGTTATAGTTGGATCCAAAGTCCAGAGTCGGCACGGAATGGCCGATCAGCTCCCAGTTCACCAGGTCGGTAGACTGGAGGATTGGGGCACCGGGGGAGTAGTGGAAATTGGAGCTGGACCAGTAGAATGTCTTTCCATCCGGGCCAAGGAAGATGTCATTGTCAGGGAAGTCTTCATAGATGACGGGATTGGTGAATGTCTGTTGGGCTTGGGCTGACAGCCCAAGCCCTAAAAGAAGACCAGCACTGAAGAACAACATCACAAGAACGGTTGAAATGATGTTACCTCTGACCATCTCAGTATTCTGCAGGAAACATGTTGGTTTATAGCCCCGATCGTCCTGGTAATAGCCTAATTCATCTGGAGCGATACGAGGATTATTAGCCAAAAGGCCCTTTCCCCCGCTTCTTCAGGATGGAAATCTGCAGAGTGATAGGCGGGTTTTATTAGAGTACAATAAGATTTGTAGTTTGTTTCATTCAATGGCTTGGTAATGTCCCTATTCGTCGGATATTCTGGAGAAGCTTCCCGTTATTAGCAGCGGGCCTAAATGCAGGGTAATGCTCTAGCAGTCATGGATCGAAGGGAAAGGGGGGCGTGAACTCTAATATACAAAGACACTGAGCATACTGTTATGATTGGATCCCCCCAAGTCCACCCTGAACCCTGAATTCTCCCGCATCACCCCATTGGCCTATATCGTTTTCCTTTACCAGTCTAGTTTGAGACACCCTCAATAGTGGAGATTTCCACCACTCGTAACGACAGGGACGTCCTTCATTGAGTGCTTAAACTAATATTGAATGTATTATATTAACCGGTGGTAGTAGACGAAGCCATAATAGAATCCTAGCACCTAAAGGTCCCATATCACTCCAGTAGTCCCTTCTTCCTCAGCACATCCCTGACAGTCTCCTCGAGGTCCTCCTTCGGAAGACCCAGGACGCTATTCCACTTCTCTGCTTGCTGTCCAAATCCCAAGAATCCCCATGGCCCATATGCCACCGCCGTCACCACCTCCGGATATCCATGCTCATAGTCTCCCTCCTCGAGATGATCCACTCCCCGCTGCGCAATCTCCTCCGTAGTCAAATGCTTCACCTCGAACTTCGTCCCCGACAACCGCTCAATCAACTCCAGGAGCTGATTCTGCGTCACCTCAAACGACTTCACATACACATACGCATTCTTCGTCTCCTCCTCATGCTGAAGGACGGAGATGATCGACCTCGTCACCTGCCCAAGCGTAGTCACAACAAACGGGCGATTGCCAGAATCGAAAATACTGACTTTGCGCGCAGACAAGTCCCAGCCCATCGCTGCGTTTTCCAACTCAAGTAGCTGCATCAGTTGTTGTTAGATCGGCGTCAGTTTTCGCTGAAGGGACAGGAAGACATACCCAATTGAAGAACGAGCCCGTGCAGATCGCCGTCCAGGTTATCCCCTCCTTGGAATCCAGGTACTCGACAATCTCCCGCTTAACCTGTGGGAATCGGGCAAAGCTGACGGGCCCCGGCTTCGACGTATCGCCTCCGTACTCGCTCGGGATGAATCGTCTTACGCTGGGAACGGCGGCTGCGGCGTCGATGGCTGTGCGCTGGATGGCGGAGTCGAATGTCCCCACGGCTGAGATGATGGCATCCTGTCCCTGGAAGGCTGCGGTGAGGGCCGCGAGGTCGTCATAGTTGGCGCGGTGGACGGTCACAGACGCTGGGAAAGTAGCCTTGGACGAGGGACGGACGACCACGGAGACGGCGAAATTGGAGGCGAGCAGAGCGTCGACCAGAAGGGTCCCGACGGCTCCGGAAGCCTGACAGTATATTCGTTAGTATGGTCGTCATGGAAATATATGCTACGGGGAAAGGTGGACGGTACCCCAAGAACAGTGACGTTCTGGATAGGAGACATGTTACTAAATCGCTAATGAAACTAATGAAACTAATGCGCTCTTGCCTTCTGGTTAAGCGAAGCCTTTGTCAAGAGATATATTTATATTCTGCTATTGACCAGACTCGCAGGTATACTTCTGCACGGAGGTAGACCGATGCTGACAAATTGCCTCGTATTCGGCTTCATTAATAATACGGAGAGGCTTTCTGCACAGTTCGAAAATGAAGTCTGTATGGTCAGCCACTTACGGCATGTAGATCAACCAGAGATGTCTGGTCTCCTTCAATGGTGGTAATTAATTTGGGAGTGGAAGATTCCAGATGTCTGAAATATAGGACCCTCCGCCGAAGCTTAATCTCACGGGTCATCGCACATCAGATAACGCAAGGCTTCTACTAGTTAGTCTAGACCGAATACAAGCTAAACCAATATTCTAATTTAAATTACTTGAGCTTAAATTCTTTGGTTGGAACGCCACAAAATATCAAACAAGCGTCGAGAGAAGTTGTCATCGGCAGCTATCTGGACCTAAGCCTATGGGCTACACGCATTACAGCACTTCGGTGCAAATATGACACCAATTATTTATCTGCATGACTCTTCATCAGAATTCCAACAAGGATGCAAATCCAAAATTACTCATCGCGGCTCTGAGACGATGTAGCAAAATGCCCTAATACGGTGCCCGACAATCTGATCTTGGCAGAAATCCTGTTGCCTGCAACGGTCAGATCAGATCTTGACTCATCAGGCGTGTCCGTCTCAAGGGAACTCTTTCGTTCATATTTGACGTTCTCGACTCAGTTCCTTCTGCGAATTCTGCAAAGCAATGAATTCGTCGCTCTTACGCAAATGTCTTTGTCGAACCTCCCCATTGCCTTCATAGGGGCGTCAGCGATCTTGCTCCTGTCAATCCCTCATGCCCGACAGGTTGTCATTGACTGTGGAAACAAGAAAGGATACATATCAATCGAGTCTAGCAACGACGATGAGGCCGTTACCACTGGCAAATCGCCACGATCAGTCTGGCAACGCGTAACCCTTGTGGTGGTGGCAGCAGCAGCCACCATTGCGGCACTCTGGTCCTGCGTAAGCATCCAACCAGTGCTTGCTCCAGAAGCCGTTCATTTGGCGATGTGGGTAAGCAGAAATGCTCCTGAGAGCCTTTGGAGCTCTAGAGATGACGACGTTTGCAGATCATGATCCTAGTGCAAGAATTGTCTCTCATAAGCCGTCGGAATCCAGAAGCTCGATATCGCTTAGGCTACTACAGCGCCTTGGCCAGTCTGGCCATAGCTATCTGTATGGCCTGGCCATATGCTTCGTCGTTGTACAGCAAATCTGACTTCAAATTAACTTCCCCTGATGCATCGAGCATTGTTCAACTGATCGCCGCTCTCATTCTCCTTTTCGTGAATCTCGCAATTCCAAGAGGACCTACACTCTACCGCCACGACTATCCAGTTGATTCGCTGAACTCCGTCTCGTTTCTAAACCGATACACCTTCTCCTGGGCGTACAAAACCCTGGCCATCGCGGCGAAGAATAAAAGACTCAATACTGATGACCTCCCGCTAGTCGGGCACGAAGTGCGTGCAAAGACCCTCTCCGACGCCTTCTTTGCAGCCAGCTCAACCTCGACTCGATGGAGGAGATGGCTAAAGCTCTACTGGCGAGAGATAGCCTTGCAGGTGGTCATACAGCTCTTCGCCAATGCGGTGAACTTCCTCCCTCACTTCCTCCTCCTTAGTATCCTTCGCCTCTTCGAGGACCGGGATGCAGGAGCCAGGAACCAGATTCAACTGTGGTTGGCTGCCCTCTGTCTTGGGCTATCGATGGTGGTCAAGGCGTGGTCCATATCATTGAGAGACTTGGTTGCTGATATGAAGCTTTCTCTGCCGATTAATGAACAGCTGCTTGCGGTCATTTCTAAGAAAGCCATGAGATTGAATGATGTAGTGATATCCACCGGCGATAGCGAGGATGATGATGCTGCGAGCGATGATGACGATGACGATGGCGATGGACCACCCAGAACAAAGCACTCCGTTCTCAATCTCCTCGGAGTAGACGTGGAAAGAGTCTCCGAATTCGTCTCGTTCGCTCATGTGCTCCTCGACTGCATACTTGAGTTTGTCATCTCGATTACCTTCCTCCTATACCTGATGGGGTGGAAGCCCATGGTGGCCGGCTGCGCTATTCCCATCCTTCTGATACCTTTCTACTACCATTTGACGAACCGGTACAGTGGACTGGAACAAGCCCTCATGGACCGCCGGGACGATAAATCCGCGACTCTTACGGTCATGATGCGCGGCATGCGGCAGATCAAGTTCAGCGCGCTGGAACCCCAATGGTACCACAAGATCCTGGGGTTGCGCGAAAAGGAGCTCCATAACCAATACTCACTTTTCCAGCTGAACGTCAGCCTAATTGCCATCTGGACAGTGGGTCCTCTGTGCATGAGCTGTATCTCAATCGCGACACATATCTACATAAACGGCTCTATTGCTGTCTCAGCTGCTTTTACAGCCTTGTCGCTTTTCGAAAATCTACAGAGCGTGCTAAGCTTGTTTCCGGAAACCTTTACCGAGCTACTAGATGCCTTGGTCAGCCTTCGGCGAATCGAAAGCTTTCTGGATCTGCCAGAACACGAGGACCAGAGAGTGCCAGGGGACGCTATCTCCTTTCGCGACGCGACCATTGCATGGCCGTCGGTTGCGTCAGAGGATGCAGTAGGGCAGTTCCAGCTGAAGGGTCTCAATCTAGACTTTCCTCCGCGGGAGCTCACGATCATCTCAGGACGGAGCGGTGCTGGGAAGTCACTACTCCTTCAAGCACTTATCGGCGAAGCAGACATTGTGAAGGGGACGGCGATTGTCCCTCGCGCATCAGCCGCCAGCTGGCCAGCTGGCGAGGAAAACTGGATAGTGGATGGCCTCGTTGCATATGTTTCCCAAGATCCGTGGATTGAGAACGCGACGATCAGGGATGCCGTCTTGTTCGGGCTGCCGTTTGACGCAGAGCGATATGACACGGTCATTCATGCGTGCGCGCTCTCGCATGATCTGCAATCTTTCCCTGACGGGGATAGAACGGATATCGGCGCTAATGGAATCAATCTGAGCGGTGGGCAGAAGTGGCGCCTGGCGTTGGCGAGGGCGCTATACAGTCGAGCTAGTATTCTCGTTTTGGACGATATCTTCAGTGCGGTTGATTCCAATGTTGGCCGGCATCTGTATGACAATGCTCTGACTGGGCCTCTTGCGAAAGGGAGAACTAGAGTCCTGGCCACGCACCATGTTCGACTGTGTCTGAGAGGGGCTGCGTACCTGGTGAGGCTGGAGAATGGCAACGTTGTGCAAGCAG